CTCAGGATGAAAACTTGGAGGCCCATTTTTAAAACATTCATCTCATTAATTAATGAACAATATACACAAAGCATGCAAGCACTTCAGCCAAGCATTACTTTTGGGAAATCAAAAAAGACATATTAGTAACAAAAGGTAAAAGTAGAGAGTGCAATCTTGATTTAGAAAACTCATCCAAAAGTCCTAATTTTCTGCAAAGGGTAGCATTTAAGCAAAATCTGGTACAGAAGGGAAAGAGACCACTGAAGCTAATTTTCCCCTGGTAAGGTAAATATGACCCTTTCACTATTGTGAGATGGTTTAGTCTCCAAACTGGCCCCAAGCAACCTGCTCTTGGTGGCCCACCTCCTTTTGCACCATTCTCTCCCGCAGAGGGAAGGGGGAGTCTTTGAATATTTTTCCACTCCCCACTGACACTATTCAAATTTGTTCTCTGACATGCAACACTCACATAAATTCAAACCACCTTTCCCTGAGGTATGTGCCTTTTTGGTCTCACTTCTGTATTAAAAAAAGAAAACAAAAAACAAACAAACAAAAAAACCACAACTATTTTTGTTTCCTTCTCTACAGAAAGTTTAAGCCTCAGATGTCAGGAGAACAGGTCAGGAAGATACAAGGTCTTCTCTGACACTGAAATTACTTATTCAGAGCCAGTCAACCAGTTTAGCTTTGTTATGGCAGCTACTTAAAGGCATTGCAGGCTCACCATCTCATCCATGCCTTTGCATCTGATCTGACACACATTTCTGACTTCTTGATGGGGCTTTATGCTGAAAACAATCACCTCTTCAACCACATCCATCATTTTTTTTCACCCAGCCCCTGCCCCCCCCAGATAGTGCTGTTCCCAGTCTTGAGAAGTCAATTATCACTGACCCTTCTGTCTCCTCCCCCTATTGTAGGAGTTGAGATCACGTGACTTTTCCAGAAGCTATTTTCACCTCCGTGAACTGAGCTTAAAATGAAAATACCACTCGCTCTTTGTGTTACTTCTTTAGGGCTCTCATAACAAAGCACCACAGAATGGGTGGTGCAAACAATAGAAACTTATTTTCTCATATCTGGAGACTAGGAGCCCAAGATCAAGGTGTCAGCAGGGTCAAGTTCTTCTGGAGGCTGCTCTTCTTGGTTTGTACGTGATCATCGTCTCCCTGTGTTTTCACAGGATCCTGTGTGTGCACATTTGAATTTCCTTGTCTTCTAAGAACACATTTGAAGTTCCTTCTCTTATAAGGACAGACATTAGGGTATAGGGCCCACCCTAATGACCTCATTTGATCTGAAACACCTCTTTAAAGGCTCTCTCTCTAAACACAGTCACATTCAGAGGTCCTAGATATAGGACTTCAACATAGGAATTGTGGTGGGACACAACTTCACCTGGTAACACTTACATTTTCCTTATGGCACATGCTCTCAATCCAGAATGCCATTTTATTTTTCCCAGAATCATTTTGATAATCTGTAGAAAACCTAGTCCATGGCCACAGACACATTCTTTCAAAAGAAAACAAGAAAAGAAAAGAAAAAGAAAAAGCCCCTCTCTTCAGAATCCAAAGTTGAGCTGCCCCACGTTAATTGCCTCACTCCCACATTCAAGGCCTTCTACAACTTGCATTTATGTGTTCAAGTTGCCTTCCCTACAATTCCAAAACATCGTACTCTGGATTATTCCATTTCCTACTTCTGTTGCTTCCACTTAGGATTTTTTTTTCTCTCCAGGAATAGCATTACCCTTCAATGCTCTAATCAAATGCTGGTTTACTTCACTGACACTTTTGTCAGCCTGATACACACCTTCCAAATAACTATGATTCCTGCTTCCTAGAGCTACCGCCCATGAACCTGACTCTCCTATTTCATTCACCTTCCTCTGCCAATTTCCTAGTTTGCTCAACTGTAAGTATCTCCTAACAGCAGGCTCATCACACCACGGATGTTGAATAAATTATTCATTGAGTTGATTAAGGCCACTCAATTTGACCTCAATGATTTGAGGGGTTAATATGATTAAATTATCCTAAACAATTATTATTTTTTTCTTGTTTTCATCATGTTAACATAACAGAAATAATGTTTTGATGACCACAAGCCAGTAATAATTATCTTGATTACTTTTCTTCCCCAAATAATGTACATGTTTCACTTTAAATAGATATAATGTGTAGGCACATATGTATTTCATACAAAATTTTGGTGACATTCATGAAAACTGAGAGAAACGTTATTAATTATCCACATTACAGGATGGAAAACTTTGGGGTTCCTTGTGAATGACTGGCTTGCTTAATGTATCATAAGGACTCGCTTCAAGTTACTTTTGAAGTCCATATTATATGCAATATACTATAATAACAATGCAGTATTAAAGGATATATGCAAATCTTTATGTCTGCAGGTCTTATTTATGTTAATCCAAAGCTGAAAAGTCTTTATTGCTGCTTATGTGAATAATATGTATGAAAATAAATTTCTAATTTATTTTCCTCTCTTTTTCACACTTCTCCAAGGATTATCCTGTACTTGACATGAAGATCTTAGTTCTTCCTCATCTCCCTGTCCTTGGGAAACTAACAAATTGACTGCAGGCTTTAATAGCTGTACATTAATATAAGTCAAATGTGACCAACAATTTGATTGGCAAGTCCTTTTCCCCATCTCCTTTATCCTTGCTGCCTTTATTACAGAGACTGGAAAGCCAAATATTAACTTTCTTGCCCTCTTTGAATTAGGGACAACTGTTCGGCATCGTTCTGGCCAAGGAGATGTATGCTGGAGTCTTCTGGGTGTTTGAGGGAGGGCGTTTGATCCCCTGAGGCCTTCCCTGTCTGTAACGCAGACATGATGTCTGGATGGCAGCAGCCATTTGACAAGATGAGGAACAGGACAAGAAAACTGTGGGGATGCTGGCTCTGTACAAATGGTGGTGCCATCACACAATGGCTGAAACACATCCAGCTGTCACCCACATAAAAGGAAGTCCCACTTGTTCAAGTATTACAAGTCCAGGTTTCAAAGGTACTTCATAAGCAAAATCCACAACTCCAGTTTTCTAGAAAGGCCAGAAAGAAGCAAAGAAGCACCACGAAGGGCACCTCCATTATCCTCTTTATATATAAAGGGTAGTATTTTTTGCCTTTAGGGATTATTATTAACTATTATCTTTATGAACCAAGAAGGGGGGTAGTTACATTTAAAATTAGATGGAAAAAAAGGGCCTCATGATCTGCTTTTCAAGAATGAAGAAGATATAGAATGGGGTAGCCTGTTCAGTTCTGTCTGCTTCCTTTTGACATTCCCTGTGCAGAACACTTCTTAACTGTGCTCCATAGTTGGCAAAAATCCCATTCACTTGCAACAGAAATCCAGGAAGCTTAGTGTAACTTTCTCCAGCTCATTATCAAAACAATTAAAATCAGCTGCTATAATACCACTCTTAGAGATTCAGATTTTGTAATTTACGTAGCCCCAGGCAAGATTCTTTTTTATGTAGAGCTTTTAATTCTAGTCTTGCCAAGTCCTAAAGAGTTCTAATTAAAGACTCCTCAGAGAGCCTTTCCTTGATCTGCTAAATACAAGATTCTTTAGTAAATAACCTGCTAGGGTTTTTTTCTGGTAGGGATAATTTATCTGTACTTTAAAGTCCTTAATTGTATTTTACACATATCCTGAAACCCCAGAACAGTAATCTCATTAGGTAAATACAAAATTATATGTAATATGCTATAATAAAAACAATGCAGTATTAAAAGATATTTGCAAATCTTTAAGCTTGCAGGTCGTGTTTATGTTAATCCAAAGCTGTAAATCTTTATTGCTGCTTATGTGAATAATATGTTCAATGCTAAATTAGAGGGCTCTCTTTGGTACAAAGTTGACTTGTACAGGAATCATCACATCCACGTGGTTCAAAATTTAATAGTATTCTTTCTTCCAAAGTCTGATAGCCTTTGCAAAATTGGCAACTTGTTGATAATACCAACTCTAAGGGAAGGTATTAGGAGGAAGAAGCTGGAGCGGAGTGTACTTTATTTAAAGCTAGTAGCTGCGTTTGCACTGTAAGCATACTAATTACCCTGTATTTGGCTCTTAATCATGGGTATGCACACTGGGACATCTTGGGATCACCATGGTTTTACTAAGGTTTGCTGGGAAAGCAGAACCCTGTCAATATGGGAATATGACTTTAAGCAGGGCTTCGCCTCACCTCCCCATTCCTGGGGAAAAAAAGTCTTATTTTATTCTATTAGTTAATTACATTCTATATCTATCTCTCATCAAAGAGATGAACCTATAAATCAGTCAGGATGATAGAAACCACCTCTTCTTGAACTGTTACTGGTAATATTTTTCCCTCCTCTCTCCCGAAACACACTCCCCTCTTCTTTTCACTTAACAATTCCTATTTATCCTTCATTTTTCATCATAGATATTATTTCCTCCTGGAAGCTTTCATTTCCTACTTTCGTATTAATTGGTTCTTTCCTTCATGGGACTTTTATTTCCCCCTCAACGCACTCGCAGGCTGACGTGTTTGTCTCCCCTGTTCCACTGCAAGGCTCCTGAGAGCAGAAACCACCGTGACCTCAGAGCTCAGCCCCGTTCTGGCACAGGTGCTCAGAGAACACCAGGAGTCAAGATCGCAGGCGCCTTCCTGTGCTCGGAGCCTGGGAACCAGCCTAGACGAGCAGCAGCAACAGGAGTTGTTAGACAGGAAAATGCCCATTTCACAGTGGAGACAGCTGTGGAGCCTGAGAAGTGCCCGGAATCCAAGAAAAGGGAAGATGACAAAAGAATTATATCTATTCCAGGGTCATGGCGGTGGCTATTAACATTTGCCACTGAAAATATATTTTTATCTCTATAGGGGGTCAATGCTTAGTCATTATAATGGATTTGAACTACACGACCTACATTCATCACTTTTCTCTGAGGACTAACTTAAAACAAAGAGAGGTACAAGTAAAAAGAACAATGAGTTATTATTATTATTAGTTTCAAATATGGAAAGCTTCATGAATTTGTGTGTCATCCTTACACAGGAGCCATGCTAATATTCTCTGTATTGTTCCAATTTTAGTGTATGTGCGGCTGAAACAAGCACTATTATTATTATTATTACTATTATTTAAAGATTCTGCAGTACTTTTTATGTGTCTCCATCTCAGGGATGAAAGAATTGCTTCTTTAGAAAACATCTTTCTATAGAAGGACAAGGAAACTCCCGCAGATGAAAACAAGCTAGATGGCAGCAGACTGCCTTTCCATGCCTCTACGAATGAATGGACGTGAGCTTACTATCAGTCAGTGGCAGTATTGGTATAAAAAATATAAGTGGTTTAAAAGACTCCAGAGATGCATTCCTAAGCCACTTCCAGCCATTGGGAATTTTCCCCATCTATGGAATTCTGAGAAAAATGTTCTAAACTAGATATCGATGAGTCTAATCAGATAATTCTTATTCATAAACCGAGAATAAAGAATAGACCAACTTCAGTGACACTGCTGAGAGAACAAATTGGCTCAAGAAATAGCAGTGGAAAAACAAAAACAAAAACAAAAACGCCCGCGAAGGCACTTCAAGGTAATCAATTTAGTTGTATCACTTTTTGCTGTGACTGAAGAAAGCTAATTCGATCTCTGAGAGTAGCATCTTGCTGTCTGGAATTGGTACTCAGAAGCTTCAAATAAACTATTCTAATGAACTTTAAGCTGTCCTTGACAGAAAGAAGGACACAGCCAGCTCTAAGCCATTAGGGAAGGTATAATTTCACAAGGCCAGACAGCCAGGGAAAGTGATCCTTAGATGGAAGATTTTGTAGAAAAATATGTGCATTTTCCTCTCCCTTATCTATCAGTAACTTCAACAGAGAGATTTTGGGATCATTCATTTTTATTTATGACCGTTATTATATCTTTGAAAATGTTCTTTGCCGTTGTTGTGAAAAGCAAGTATGGTTAATAAAAGTTTAGCTATGGTGCCAAGCGGCCCAGCCTACAAAGCCTGGCTTACTAGCTACTTCGTAGCTATATAACCTTCAGCAAGCTGCTTACCCATCCCACCTGTGTTTTCACCACTGATTCACTCTTCCTCTTAATAAAAAGGGGAGGGCAGTGATGACTGTTCACAGCGCAGAATTGTTATGAGGTGTTAACTAAATTACTACGGAAAATGCCTGCCACGAAGTCAGGTCAATTATGCAGACTTAAGAAATAAATCTAAATCTCATTTTTTCTTCTCTTTTCCGGCCTTCCCTTCTTCCCCTGTCTTCTCCATCTTCCAAAGACCAGTCTTTAGAAGACCACCCCCCAGCCTCTCAACCCCTGACGAAGTTCTGAGATCCGGCTGCCTGGTACAAGACCCAGCCCCAGTTGGGGAGTCAGTCTGTTTACTCCATACTCAGTTTATTTTAGACAGCAAATATTCCCGGGGAAAAAGTTAACTGTGTCTAATTGCTTATTTATAATTTCTTCAGGTTTTCCTTTTTTATAATTTGTGGTGAGCAGATTCTATGCAGGAGACTATAGAAAGAACAGAGGCTTTGATTTGAGAGGGAATGTGTGTGAGGGACAGAAGGAGGGGAGATGAAGGAAGAGAGGAAGGTCTCAGAACCCAAGCTCCTGCATTACTCACTCTATTAAACCAGCCTACTCTAAGTTTGCCCAGTTCTTGGGTAAAACAAACTTATTTCTTGTTAATTGTCAACTGGTAATTTTCATTGCTTTTAAAAACATTTTTAAAAACCATTTTTAAAGACATACGTACATATGAAAAGCATTTATAAATTCCCCTCTTTAAGAATGATTGTTGAAAATAGCAGTAGTCGTCAACATCTAACATTTTAGTGGTACTTACCACGTGACAGGCACTGTGGTAAGCACTTTACATGACTATCTTACCAAACACCCCAAAAAACCTTATGACTTTGGTAGTATTATTTTAATTTACAGAGGAGGACACGGAAGCAGAGGGCATATGCAGCTGGTAACTAGTAGAATCAGCTAATAAGCCATGAACTCATCTGTTGTGACTGTAGACTTCTACGCCTCTTTTGGGTGAGCAGCAGAACTCCATCGGAGCTGCCCAGGATTCTACTAGAACACACAGTATGATGACAGAAGGTCATTTTTCCCCACCAAAGTAAGCTGGGGAATTTTGAATGGGCAAGAGGACATTTTAAGAGTCCACATGGGGCATCAGTTTAGAGATAGCAATGGCATGGGAGTCTTCCCCATCTTGTGAATCCTCTTACCGACAGGTTTCACTCCCATCTGAGGCTTTAAGAAAACACATGAGTATAAATTGTTTCTCTTGGGTATTGTGAAGGATGTTGGAAAGAAGAGACTTGGGGAAGTTCATAGATTAAATAACAAAGAACCACTGGTTTCATATATGATGTTATGCAAATATCAACGATGGCCTCTCAAGAATTATTTAAGGTTCCATTAGTCTATGATCTCCCCGGAAATTTTGCTTCCCATCATAGTACTTTATATTTCTATATCATTCCACAAATAACATATCTTCTTTGATTCTCACAGTCAACATGGATGGTGATTAGGGAAGATCACAATAGTCCTGCTTTCTAGAGGAACATAAGGCTTTATAGGGCTCAGCAGAAGAATAACCCCAACGCAGCATCTAGGCCCCAATCTTGCCAATAATGACTTTCATCAATCCAAAAGTTCTTCTGCTATATACACTCTATGGTTTTCTTGGTGAAAACAGTCTTCTCAGTGAACTAAATTCTGCATAGGAAACTAAAGGCTCAGCAGCAAACATTCTAGTTTAGTGTATGTTAAGAATCATTTACATTTATATCTAAAGCTGCTGGGTATCTGAAGAGTGTTTGGCTAAGCAGTCCTGAGAGACTGAATGTCATTAGCTCCTGTTCCTAAATGCTTTCTGTGAGGAAGGCAGAGGATCGTATTTGAATTGAAGATAATTGAAGTATGGCAGATGTAAAAGGGGTGATTAGGCTGCTCCTCAGGAACTCCAGCTCAAGGATGCAATTGCCAAGTCCCCAAGGAAGAAGATAAGGGCAAAAATGCCTAATTTGAACAGAATGGCTAGATACAACTTTTTGTTTACTTATATTCTTACAAATTACTTACTGCTATGGCAACACTTCATGAAAGTCTGTTTTCATGGTCCTTAATGGTATTTTAGCATAATTTATAGGGAAAAAAATCCTCAGAAAATAAAAAAATAATGTGAATATAAGAAATATGTTATGAAAATATCTTATGAAATATATTATGAAACTTTTGTCTGTTATGTAACTAGTGCTAACTTTACAACCCTTTAGGTTTCTGATGGTGATAATATATTTATCTTACCATTGCTTTTCCAAATCCCAAGTCCTTTTTTATAGAAACGTAGCTTCAACTAGAAGGCAAGTCTTCCTTTTTATAGAATGCAAACAGAGCTCCAGACGGTGATAAGCCTCACTACAGGTTTCTTTGAATCCCTCTGGACCATACATTATGGATATAAGAATAACTAAGACATGTATCCAAGAACATATATTTTTAAATTCTAAATTTGGTTTGATTTTTCTGATTAAGCTAAAAATGAGCCATTTGAGCATCAAATTACATATTTTACTGAATATTTTACATTTTCTCAAGGTCATTTTCCCTAGTAATCAAAAATGGGAGATGATAGAAGGCAGTTAAATATATTTTGAGCATTTTCAAATAGTGTTCTTTTTTTTTTTGATTTTTTTTCAAATAGTGTTCTATAGGAGATTCGTTGCAGCATGTAAAAGGTGATAGATCATATGTAGATAACACGGGAAGGGAAGGATGTATTCTGTAGTAAGAGAAGTTTGAGGTAGAAATTCAACAAAGTTAGAACAGTTTTTCAGGAATTCTCAGGGCCTTTAACATGCAAATTAATGGACAAGGTTCAAGAAAGTCAGAGTATGCATCTCTCTTAAAAGTATTTAAACAAGAATCTAATGTACTCAATTCTAATATGAAGGCAGTAGATGATTGAATACAAGGTGTGGGGTAGGGGAATGAGGGAGTGGGGAGAGGGTAGGGTAGGGGATGGGGAGTCACGGTTTATGGCACACTTTTTGGGGATAGAACAGAATTATAAGAGGGACTTTACCTAACAAATGCAATTAGTATAACCTAATTCTTTGTACCCTCAATGAATCCCAAACAATAAAAAACAAAAGAAAGAAGAAACTATTTAAACACAGAGTAAGTATTTTGGAGAGCATGTGCAGGCATGTGGTGGGTCATATGGACTTGGAAGTCACACAGAACTGAATTGCTGTTATAGCTCAGAGAGCTATGTGACTCTGAGAGGGTGACGGAAACACTCTTTGCCTCAGTGTCTGAGCCTTGGTGTCTTGAACTTAAGAAAAGGTCATTCAATTCAAAAACATTGGGAAACCTGCATTATATTCTTTTTTTTTCTTTAATTAAATCATAGCTGCGTACATTAACACAGTCATGGGGTACAGTGTGCTGGTTTTATATAAAATTTGAAATATTTTCATCACACTGGTGATATTCAAATGCATCTTCATTAATCCTGTAAATCACTATTGTCACTCTTGAATCTACTTTTCCCTTAGAAAATTTAGTTGAAATAAAAAACCAGGGAGATTGAGGAAGTTGGCTAACCAGAGACGAGAGACACTAACTGCCAGATTGTCTCAGAAAGAAGGAAACGTTTTAGATGAAAAAGAAACAAATACAGATCAGGTATAATTCTGAGGGAAAGGTACCAGAACCTACAAGAGATTTCATAGGAAAAAGCTGCAGAGCAGAATAAGGAGCAAGACACTAGCAGAGGGCAACCTCTGCGAGGTTTGGGGTCTAGTGAAAAGGTAGGCAGAGTGGCCTCGTATCTCTCTGGCAGTCAGAAGGCTTCGGAGCTGCTGGAGAGCCTCTCTACCCTCACGAGCCCCCAAACTGCTGTCACCAGGGAATTGGGGGCTTCTTAAGGACAAAGCATCAGTCTGCCAGGCTGAGACACTTCCAGTCACCAAAGACCTGAGCAGAGACGGCAGGTGCCATATTGCTTTTCCAGCCACTGTGCACGTTTGTCCTTTCCATGGGGCTCCAGCCCTCATGTTGCATCTT